CTTGGGTGGGAGTAAATCCACAAGAGAAAGTCCTGGCAGTGGGATTGTTGTATCAGAGGGTACGTGCATTGTCATTTTCATAGACATTTCCAAAATGCTCTCCAAAAAGGGTTTTACCAGTTGACCTTCCTACCAAAAAATGTGTGAGCATGCTTTAAACAGAAACTTTGTAGTGCATGTGATAGCAGATAGGAATCAAAAGGCTGGGCAGTCCAAGGCAGAGAGTTTGAGGAAGCTGGGAGGGTGTCACCTAAGAGGGGGAATTTAAACAGAATCTGGACTGCTGTGTCAGAGTTTGTAGGCAAAGAGGGGGGCACCGTCATTTAACTCGGGCAAAATGAGGTCACTTGGGGCAAAATGAGATAACTTGATGTCCTCTTATCTTCATTTGCCTCAGAGAAGCCAGAGAAACGTGGTAGTCACACATGGAAGCTGTGACCTGGAGAAATTTCTTCCGAATTAAAGAGAAGGCCATTTGCCTAGCGTAATAGTTTGTGGAAAACCGTACTTTGCATGCAGAAAGTGAGACTTTGAGTGCCGGCATGTTGGTCCTCTGTGTTCGCATCTGCATATCCGTTTGTCAGGACGTTAACAATAACTGTGGTGTTTAGGGTGCAGCCGTGTGTTAAAGAAGGTCACGGCTTAAAGTCACTTCAGTCACTGCTGGGACTGCTGTGGCCACTTCCTCTTAATGGATTCTCGCTTGTCATTTCCCGCTTTATGTTTGGGTATCTGTAGAATTTTTAGAAAGTCACAAAGGCAAATTCCTCATCTTGCTCTTGGGGTAGGAGTTGGGGGGGAAGAGTTTTGTATTTGTGCATTTTGATTAGCGTGGGATTTTAAAACTCATTAGCATCCCTTAGAATTTGATAAACTACTTAGGTTTAATATTCTTGGGACCAAAGAGTGCACTGAACAGGAGTCCTTTCCTAGTCTCTTGCTCCTGATTTCCAGGGAGCCTGAGGTGATTTGAATTTAAATTAAGGAAGACCTAGAGACCAACTGATGTATTCTCCTGCTGGAGGGTCTGTCCCAGGCCCCTTACAAGAATCTGAAGGCAGGTCTTTCTGGCATCCCTCCACTCCAGGGGTTTGGCTTGGTTCTGGGAAACTTGTGGATTCTATTGAGGGATTCCCTCATGGAGGAGGAGAGACTTAAATCAACTCACTTGCATCAGACAGAGAAATGACTTCCGCCTGGAGAGTATTCTGGAGTGGCTGTGTCTTCCAGGAACCTCCTGACCTAATCCATTACTTGGGGAGGACCCGCCTCCAAGTCCCAGCTCTCCCAGCATGGGTAGGGGTGGCCAGGCTGAGAGAAGCCCCTCTGGCCTTTTGCCACAGTTCTCAGGGGTCTCAGACTCCGGATTTGGAAGGTTCCAGAGAGTCTTAGACTTCCTTGATTGAAAAAACCAGATTCTTAAGACGATCTCTAAAATGTTGCCTACGCAGGTTGGCAGGATTCTGTGGCTGCATTTGGGCCTGTTGTTTTGATGAGTCAGTGCAAGTTTGTCGATAGTAACCCCGGGAGCAGAAGGTATTCTTGCTGTTTTTTTTTTTTTTAGGTAAGGAAGCTGGCTGTGGAACACTGAAACAGAAACCTGTCCCTCCAGAGTTCATTCTCTGAATGGTGCGTCAAAGTTGACATTGTTCTCAACCTTATTTTTCTGTTAGGGAATAAATCATTCTCTTTGATTCCTCTGCACTCAGGTTCTAAACTGGACCAAGCAGCAGCTGCCCACTGGGACCTGGGCCTCCTTTAAGCTGAACCATGAAGTGGGAGTCGCTGCTTAGGGAGCTTGCTCACTTCCTCTTTCAGGGAGCCTGTCTCCTCGACAGGGCTGCCTCTAGTCCTTGCCTAATGCCTTCCTACTCTGGAGGACCAATTCTGTACCTAAGTTTTGGGGCTCTGAAGGGTGCCTAGCACTTGACACTGGCTTGGTAGGAGCTCTATTCTCCACAATGGGCTCCTGCCCATTTTCTGATTTTTGCTCAGTACGAGGTCTCTCCTGTGTCTTGACATCTGGTCTAGCACTCTTTTTGTTTACTGGCACTGGGAAATCTGCTCCTTAGTCCATCCTGAGTCCTTGTCATTGGCCTGCTTTTTCCCTTCTTGGGTGCATGCTCCATATCACGGGGACCTTTGGCTAATACACCTGTGCCTTTCTGACTTACTGTGACCCAAAGATTAGTGTGGGTCTGTGTCTACTCTTTTTTTTTTTTTTTAATTTTATTTATTTGAGAGAGGTTGAGAGAGAGAGAGAGCATGAGCAGGGGGCGGGACAGAGGCAGAGGAAGAGAATCTCAAGCAGACTCCCCACTGAGTGCCGAGCCCATTGCGGGGCTCCATCTCATGACCCCAAGATCATGACCCCTGAGATCATGACCTGAGCCAAAATCAAGAGTCAGACGCATAACCCACTGAGCCATCCAGGCGTCCCACCTGATCTGATTTCACTTAGACTAACTACACAGGACAGTGGAGTTTGTTTTTGTTTGTGTGTTGTTTTGTTCTTTTTGCAGTTTCCCTAGAGGAAGATAACCTAAGGTGGCCCTGCAGAAATGTGTCCCATGAGACTCCAGTTGGACCCTTGAAAAAAAAAATGTGGTCACTCATGAACGGCTGTTGAGATGTTGAGGCCTTTTTTCTTTTTTTTTTAAGATTTTATTTATTTATTTGACAGAGAGAGACACAGTGAGAGGAACACAAGCAGGGGGAGTAGGAGAGGGAGAAGCAGGCTTCCCCGCAGAGCAGGGAGCCCGATGTGGGGCTCGATCCCAGGACCCCGGGATCATGACCTGAGCCGAAGGCAGACGCTTAATGATTGAGCCACCCAGGTGGATGTTGAGGATTTTTAAATGTTTGGAAAACATACAAAGTTAACTGTAACTCAGTAACATCAAGTCTGTAGATTTGAGGTCTAAGAATATATATATTCTGCTAGTTTTTTGAAATTAAGTCTCTGCAAAATATTATTCTCCCATCTTACTTTTTCCTGTCTGTTTTGGAGTTGACCGTTTTAAGCCATGGATTCAAGTTTAGAGCTTGCTTTGTAGAAATTCTTATGTTTCATTCCAGGAAGGAGGGTTTCAGAGCTTCTTTCTGAAAGAGGGACAATTCTTTCTCTAAGAGAGTGGTTCTAAGCCCACCCATCACTTTGTAAGTTATATAGGGCTCACACAGACACCAGAAGCTTTTTTTTTTTTTTAATTTATCTGAGAGAGAGAGAGGGAGAGAGAGGGAGAGAGAGGGCGAGTTCACACACACGAGTGGGAGGGGCAGAGGGAGAGGGAGAGACAAATCTCAGGCAGCCTCCATGCGCAGCGTGGAGCCCCAAGTGGGGTTTGATGTCACGACCCTGACCTGAAACCAAGAGTTGGTTGCTTAACCAACTGTGCTGCCCAGGTGCCCCTCTTTTTTTTTTTTAAGAAAATAACATTTATATACTCATAGGGATATAATGACAAATTTACGAATGTAGCATTGTACTGATGGGAATAAATGTTATTGCTATAATTTTAGAACTCAAAAAAAAAAAAAACCTCTGTTTGTAATTAAAAATTGAGTGTTAATTTTCTACCAAATGTCTTAAGACTGTAGGTAAAGAACTGCAATTTGTTGGAACAGATGATGAGCTAAGGCAGGTTGCTTACTTCTGCAGCTGGACAGTGGGTACCAAAGAAGAGCAAATTCCTAGTAATTATTATGAAAGCCTGCAATTTACACAGCTGCTTCATATTGGTGGGAAGCCACTGTCCTGGAGAGCATTGGATTTTCCCTCTTCTGTCCCTGTGGACAGAGGTGATTTTCACTGTCATCCCATCCACATTGTAAACAGCAAATGTTTCTTCAGACTCAAGGGTTTGGGAAGGGGCAGGGGTGTTCCTAGACATTTTAGGACAAATTCCAGTGTCTCAGTCCCCTGCCTTCCCCCGACCGATGACCCCATGTTCATAAAATGATAAATGATCTTCTGCGCATCCATTAATGAAAAAGAGTTAACAACACACACAAAATCCGGGAGCATGTTGCAGCCCCAGGAGTGGGTGTGAAAGGTGCTGTGGGTCTTAGAGCTGCTGAGGTTAGTCGCTGAGTCTAAGTATATGACCCTGGGGAGTGCTATCATGGGCTCCCTCCCAGGCCTTGAGAGGAAGGGAGATTTTCATAAGAATGGTCCTGTAATTACCCTATTTTAATTAAAACCCTAGAAAACCACAGCTTTTCATTTGTCCTGCCTTGCCACTCTCTAGGGGAAATCCAACTCCATTCTCTCTCAGCTTCCTTCTTCCTCCTCCCCAAGGGCTGATTCTGGTTTGGGAAAATACCTGAATATTTCTTTGGGTTTAACATTCTCCCCTGGCCTTTTCTGGGAGTCACTTGGACTCTTTGGGTCTTCCCAGATCTCCAGACCTCTATCTAGACTCTCATTTCCATAAACATTCTGGACTTTGGGGACCAGGCAAGTTGGGAGGAGGCATGGATCACCTGGGGTATCCCCGTGCTGGGCCAAGCCTTCAGCAAGGTTCCATGTGTGGCCCTGGGATGGCGGGTGGGCAGATCTCCCACCAGGGTGTCCTGGCCAATGTTTCCAGGGCCACCAAGTGAGGCTCACCACTTTCATGATCTGGAACTCAACCCTTAGGAGCACTTAGTGAGCTTTGTGAAGGGGTACCGTTGTGTGTCTTGAGAGAAGATGAAATTAGGGAAATAATTTCGTTTAAAGGCTGTTGTCTTAGTAAGTAGATGATGTTGGAAGAAGTAACTGTCGTAGACCTTTTGTTGGTTTCCTATAGATGGTTCTGTTGTAATTTTGGATATGCGTTTTGGCAGAGTTTCTTGTATGTGCTGCCGAAGAAAATTTGAATCCTTTTGTTTCCTGAATGGAGAGGAGCTCAGTTTCAAGGTTATTGCTTATTCCTTGCTCTCTACTAAGTTTTTCCTGCTGTGTTTGATACTATTTCTCATTCATCCAGAGTTTGTATTGTTATACGAGAGTTCTTGTGTTGACTAGAAATCGAAAAATGCCCTCAGCTGCAGCTCTGGCCCCTGTATGTCTATCAGGTAAGCTTCAAGTAAGCACCTTGTTTAAGCTTGGGTCTATATCTCTAGAGATTTTCTTTTTTTTGTTCTTAGATACAGTGTATATCTTTGTCCCTCTATCAGGTTTTAAAGGGGTTCTGTTTTAAATAAAGGAGACATTTTTATCATCCTGTTGTCTTGCTAACATGAGTCTTTATTAGAGGGCTAAGACCAAGGCCTTTTTTTTTTTTTTGGCAACCTTTTATCTCCTCTAAGTACAACTGTAATTTTCCAATGAATTGGGCGTTCATGAAGTCTAAGTTTTAAGCTTGTCCATTTATTATTTGCTCAAATAAAAAAAAATTCTTTTGAATGAAAAATAATTTCCAAGGCCATTTTTAATATTTTGTATTCTGAGAGTGTTTCATTATTGCCAAGAGTACCAGATACCTAAATCTGAATAAATTTCCATTTGGTCTCTGGACAGTGGTTACACACATATATTAAATGCTCTGGTCTCGTGTTTTTTCAGACTGTGAGTGGTGACCCAGTGGTAGGTCATGAAGTCTGTATAGTTTGTCACGACTAGCATCTTTTTTTTTTTTTTTTTTAGATTTATTTATTTTGGAGAGAGAGAGCACAAAAATAAGCACAGGGTGGGGGGGGACAGAAGGAGAGGGAGAGAATCTCAAGCTAACTCTCCAATGAACACAGAGCCCTTCATGGGGACTCGATCTCACAACCCTGAGATCATGACCTGAGCCAAATCCAAGGGTCAGATGTTTAACCGACTGAACCACCCAGGCGCCCCTGTCATGACTAGCATCTTAATAAGAAAGAAGGAAAGAGAATAGAGCAAGAATAGAAAATTTTAGAGAGAATCACTCAAAAGTAAGGATAAGTATTTTTTTGTGAAACATTTTTTCATTGTGTGTGTGTTTCCTGAGCTCTGATGTACAATGTATTTCTTAATGTGGGTCTCAGAAACATTTGAGAAACCTCTGCCCTGTCTGTGCTCATGTCCCCAGTCGGCGTTTCTCCCACCTGGCCTCAGGTACGTGGATCTCCTTGATGTTTCCTCCACCATCCGTCCTGGTCTCCAGCCCTCTGTGTCCATATACTGGGTCTACCCAGACCCTCTTTCATTGGCAACTCCTCTTATCCTTCCAAAAAAAAATGGATGTCACCTCTGGTAGAGCCTGCCCTGACCTACGAGTCTCCCCACTGTCAGTGGGATGTACGTTTCCGGCCACCTGTATTCTCCTCTAACCACAGTTAGCATTGTGTTTGCTTGTCTCTCCAGTGATATGTGTGTGTGTGTGTGTGTGTGTGTGTGTGGTGACATCAAGGAGACAAAGAGGACTCATACTAAAAAACAAATCCTGTTGGGGCGCCTGGGTGGCTCAGTCGGTTAAAGCCTCAGACTCTTGGTTTTGTCTCGGGTCATGATCTCAGGGTCGTGAGATCGAGCCCCGCCTCTGGCTCAGTGCTCAGTGCACACCTCCTCCCCCCCCCAGCTCATGTGTGCACGCTCTCTCAAATAAATAAAAATCTTTAAAATATAAAAAAATAAAAAATACCCTGCTGATAGAATACAAATAACATGTAAGTTATGCTTCAATAGGGCATTAAAAGAAAACATGTTTTCCTGATAATATATGGGATTCTTATTCTTTGTGAACAGAGAAAATAAAGGGAGAAAATGAACATGGCTCATAGTTGTATCACCCAAAGTAACTGTTAGCATTTTGATATTATTTTCTTTTACTGTTTCTTCCATACATATTTTTGTTTTGTACAGGTGATCATAAATGTAGTATTACCACCAGCCTTTTTTATGTAACACTAAATAAAGCACAAGCGTATCCCCAAAGAGCTGATTTTTTTTTTTTTTTAAGAGAGAGAGAGAAAAAGGGGTGTGTGTGTGCTCTGCGACTGGGAGAGGGGCAGAAGGAGAGGGAGAGAATCTCAAGCAGACTCCCCAGAAGCCCCCCAAAAAGCTGATTTTTAAAGGTCACGATAAACCTTTTATTATTATTGTTGGACCTGTGTTCAACATGTGTACACATTTACATGTTCTCTTTTCTCTGTAATTCTATATTCATAGCTGTTGTGGGCTGAATGTTTATGTGCCCCCAAAGTTCGTATGTCAAAGCCCTAAACCCCAGTGTGGTGGTATTTGGAGATGGGCCTTGGGGAAGCATTTAGGTTTAGAGTAAGTCATGAAGGTGGGGCCCACATGGTGGGGTTAGTGATTTCCTAAGAGAGAATCTCTCTGTGTCCTTGCACACAAGGAAAGGCCATGTGAGCACACGGTGGGCAGCCCGCCATCTGCGTGCCAGGAAGACGGTTCTCACCAGAAACCAAATTGGGTAGTATCTTGATGTTGGACTTCTCAGCCTCCAGAACTGTGAGAAATTAATGTCTTGTTGTTTAGACCACCCAGTCTGTGGCATTTTGTTACTGTGGCTTGAGCAGATTAAAGACAAGAGCTTGAGCAGATTAAAGACAATAGCTATAGGGTTCAAAAATGACAATTTAAAACTCACATTGAATTCTTGAATAGTCCCTAAGAGGTATGATATTACATTTTGTGCTTTGTTTGCTTAACAAAAGCATGAAGATTTCTCTGCTGGGGTGTTGTAAATGTTAAATTCTCAGATACACAGGAATGGGATTTGGGTAAATGGCTGTCTTGCTATTGAGTATAAAGACGCAAGGAAAGTAACTAAAGTAAAGTAAAGTAAACCAAAGTAACTAAAGATTTGTAGTAATTAATAACAGCTAACACTTGTGGGCACAGAAAATGCCTCAGGAACAGCACTCAGTGCTTTATGTACATTGATTTGTTTCGTCTCGCTTAATCCCAGCATGCGGCATTGAAAGCTCACATCTTACTGAGCTACATCCAGAGTTCAGAGCATGAGCTCTGGAGTCAGACGGCCTGGGTTTAAACCCTATCTCTGTCCCCTTTCTAGCTGTGTAGACCTGGAGTAGCTACTTGCCTTCTCTAACCTCAGTTTTCTCAGCTGTAAAATGGGCGAAATACATAAAGTATTTACGGCCCAGGATTACACTTTGAGGATTAAATGAGTTGGGGTAAATCAGCACTTTGTATGGTGCCTGGCACATGGTAGGTGTCCCATAAACATGGGTTTAGATGGGTAATACCATTTTGGATGAAAGATTTTAGTGTCAGGATCTTCTGTTTCAACTTTGGGTGTATAGATAACCAATCATTTCACATAGGATGTGAAACCACACTGCTTGTGGAGTCTGTGAGAGGCAGATTTGGATGCTTCATGCTATGATGCTCCTGTGGTCTGACTTGTTACCAACAGGAAAAGGGACCAGAGGATGGGGGAAGCAGACTTTCTTCGATAAAGGTCCAATTAGGAAATATTTTAGGCTTTGTGGGTCACAGATGGTTTCTGTTGCAACTATTCAACTCTGCCATCGTAGAGTGAAAGCAGACATAGACAGTGTGCAAATACGGGTCTGTTCCAACAAAACTGTATTTATGGACACTGCAATTTAAATTTCAGATGATTTTCACGTGTCTTGAAATACTAATATTTTTTGATCCTCCCCCTTGCTCCCAACCATTAAAAAATGCAAAACCGACTTAGTTCCTGGGTCATACAGTAACCGGTTGTTGCTGTCATGGGTTGGCCCCCGGGTTCATCTTGCCTTTTGCAGGAAGTGGCGTGACCAGTGTCGCCTTTTTTAGTTAAATTCCAAGGACTGAAATAAAGATTTTTCTAACATTCTTTCCCGCGGGTCTCCTCAGTGACTTTGGAAGCAGTTTGTCTGGGAGTAAAGGGTCTCTAGGGGGCCATTGCTCCCTCTCTAATGTTTAGCCAGTCAAGACATAGTTGACAATGAGCGTGTCATTTGAAATTTTGCTCTTTGGGACTTTTATGTTAGACCATGGAGAGGAAATAAAAATAACCAGCAGTTATGGCTCCTGAAGACGTAAAAGTCACCAGGTTTGCTGAAAGGCACTGAAAAGTTTAAGCAAAGGAAAAAACGGATAAGAAAGGCACAGTGTTAATAAACAGAACCCTCTTGTCAGAAAACACACTGGCTACTGTTTTTAACGAGTCTGCCATTCCTGCAGCTAAAATCAAGACATGTTTCAAATTCTTCAGTTTGTTTTTTTTTTTTTTTTGGATTGGATGAGGGGAGGCGGCAAGGAAGAGGTGGTGTTGGTGTAAGGGATGTAAGGTGTAAGGGATGAAAATATTATGTTCATATTCTTTTTTATTAGTTATATCCTTTATGGGTATATATGCAGATAGGATTCATTGGATTTGATTTCGTTAATCCAAGAACATAAGTATGAGGGAGGAGACTTACTCTTTTTTTTTTTTTTTAAAGATTTTATTTATTTATTTGACAGAGAGAGACACAGCAAGAGGGGGAATATAAGCAGGGGGAGCGGGGAGGGAGAAGCAGGCTTCCCGCGGAGCAGGGAGCCCGATGCGGGGCTCGATCCCAGGACTCTGGAATCATGACCTGAGCCAAAGGCAAATGCTTAATGACTGAGCCACCCAGGCACCCCAAGACTTACTCTTTTACACTGGAAACTCTTAGACATTGCTGTGCTCACAAGATGGTGTTCTCTACAAGGATGAAAGCCTCTGTGTTTTATCTTCAAGAGCAGTGCGCTTTTGTGGAATGCCATGAATAGAGATCTTCACCCAGAAGCCTGTTGTGAGCTAACCACCTCATTTATGGGCGTTGGAATCCACAAAGCCCAGGGGAGCCTGTGTTGGCCCAACAGAGCACAGCTGTTTCCTCTTACCGCACAGTCAAAATGATGGCCTTGACTCTTGGATGCTATCACATAGACTCCCAGTGTTTTGTTTTTGAGCAGAAAACATCCTGTTTCATCATGCATGTTTAATAGAATAATTTAAATATGTTTAATAGAAATAACATTAATATTTTTATTTGCCCTGAGAATATTCGAAGGTGGGTGACAGGTTTTTCATACCCACAGGGTATAAATGAAGAAGTGATATTCCCTGCATTCTCTT